ACGCGTCCTGACATCAGCTACGCGATGTCGAACCTCTCACTATACCTTGAACAACCACGATATGTGCATTGATGTGCAGGGCTACGGGTTCTGCACTACCTGAAGGGAACATTATCACACGGCATCGCATACGCGAAGTCAAGGAACAGGAATATCATGTCACACGCTTATTGTGACGCGGATTGGGTGGCTGACAAACAATTGCGAGAGTGCAAGTTGAGGAGGAGTGTTGCGGTACCATCTCACAGAATATGTATGGTGCACAAAGCCAACTTGCAGTGAATCTTGATCATAAAACTTTACGAAGAAGTAATCAAGTCAATCAGAGTTCTCGAAAGCTAGATAATATACTAAATTCAATCGTACTTTTTTTGGCACTGCAACATAGAAAAGTACAATGTTATCCTGTCGACCACAGGCTCAAGAAGCTATTTTTTTCTTAGGTATGCTGAACATCACCACCCATATTATTAAGGACATGCAAAGTAGTTTGTTCACAATAGAACACAGAAACAGTCCTGACCGAGGCGGAGTACGTGGATATCAAGCTCAGATTCATCGAAAGACCTATACAAGTATCAGTGCCAGAATATGTCGCTAGCGCTGATGTCGAGTCAATTGGGAGCTCTGGCCGGCGAGATATTAGGTCTACTATCAATATCTGGTGAAATGAAAGTCACTGAATAAAATACGATGTCTAACACTCATGTATCGGACAAAATGCGATGTCTTGCACTCATGCATGGGTAGACATCGGTGCAAACCACTCATGCAATTGGACCCTGAGGGTCTGAGGAGAATTTTTGTCTACTAAAAAAGTCAATGTATGCGCAAAGATAGTGAGCCAAACTCCAAGGGCTCTTATGAAAACGTCGTATTGACGATGTTAAAGGTACGAGTTCGAAATTGCTGAGATGATGATACCAATCAATACTGATAGACAATTTGGCAGTTGCATGTCGATATCACATGCATAACATTTACGTTTGTTCATTCAGTAAACGAATTAGAATAGCCTAGTGGTGTACGTTTGGTGGTGGCCTCTTTCAATGATATTTCGATTTTCTCGACAGAAGAATTTGAAATCACACAGTGTTAAGTGTTAGCTTCGGGGCTCCTATCCAGTGCTCCCCCTCGCTCCTTCTCAAGGCTTATCGACCAGACATGATTATGGCATAGTAATTGACGGAGATGTTTATGATGCGAGTTCTGACGAGATAATCACAACAACGTGACATCGGATTAATAAAGACCTTTTCACCTCGCTTTTTTCAAACAAATCAGTAATTAGATATAGATAAGAGCGATATCACAGGATCTGGCTTGTAAGCAAGACCAATGCAATTGGTGCCGCTACACAAGGCGGTGAATTCAACATCTGAACAAGATAGGGCCACCTCGAGCGCCAAAGTGGCATAGGAGGCCTTGCATAATTCTATGACCGCTCGACATATCACATTTGCGTACGTGTTGACTTTATGACTCAAAAACAGCACGTTACCGGCAAGTGTTGGCTTTGATCATTCCGGACACATGAAATGAAGCTACTCGGCCAGAAAAGACCCAACAGCAAAAAAGATGAATTTGAGATGGTCGAACGACGGCCAGCATGATGAATGGCGCCAACTCTCACGTGGTACTGTAAGGGATCGACTTGCATAAATTCAAGGAACTTAAGACAAGCGTCGACGTAATAATTGCAGACAGCAAACATTTACTCGCCAAAGGGCCCATCACGATCAAACTGACCGGATCGAGCAGGAAATTTATATGTCTCAAATCCGACGGGAGGCTATCGTGTATTGATAAGCTTGCGAAATTTCGGGGTTATTGCACCTAAGTTGTGTGATCAGCGGTTGTATTGGTCACAAGAATTTATAAATATTACATGCCCAACTGCGAGCAGGAAGATGCATGTCATCAGAGTATATCGAAGCTGGCACTCAGTGAAAGCTGAGGCATGCCCGCATGGAACTCCCTGTCAAGGACAATATTTTCAAGACACAGCGTCCAACCAGTAGCATCCAAATAATCAAGTACGATACAAAGTGCTCAAAGTGTATCGTGTGTCTGAGGTGGAAGCAGGCAGTAACGACATTTCCCCCATTAGTTGACAAAGACGATACATGTGCTGCATCCTGTGCCCACAGACTTTCATGAAACATTACAGACTAAAAAGAGGTGCACGGTATATTCTCACTTCTGTTAATAATTCTTAAAATGTGCCACATTTTTTTATTTCATCAGCAAAATCGAGAAAATATTCAAGTTTGATAAGCTTATGACGCCTTATATAACCCAACGGGGTATCTATCTAAATTGTTTGTCATGCGACAACGGGAGTAACGTAATGCACGAGACAACGGCAGACATATGTCGTCAAAGCAGCATTTCCCAGCAGCATTCCGTCCAACATAGCGTAGAATTGGGTGATAGAGCATTCTCATGGAAAAAGCTCGTAGCTCGCTCAATTTCCAAAAAACATGTCGATTGCGTGGTGGGCTGAAGTAGTGAACGCAACACTTTATTTGACAAATTGCTCGACGGGTACAACTCATCCCGGACATACGTCGTATGATTTGGCGTTCAAGGTGATGCCTCTAATGGATCACTGAGGCGTGTTTGAATTGCAGGGAAACTGCAGCGGGTCTGCTGTAGCTCTTTGTTAAGCTAAGGTCACCGACCTTACGTTCTTTCCAAGAACTATTACGAGTGTAGCGGTTCGCAATCCGCTACCTCCAAGTGTTAAAGACCTTAACCAAGGCAAACGAAGACTTCTGTTCAAAATTGAAACTGTGATTGATTGTTTAAGTTGCGGCAAAGTCACCAATATCTAAAACCCTAGGTTTTCCTAAGTAATATACCTGCCATGTGGAATCTTCTTGTCACGGTGTAGCTGCACCACTGTGTGAATACACTAACTTGTGTAATCCACACATATGTACGATCGCACCATCTTGTGCGACCCGCCCTTCCACATGTAACCCTGTTACACTCACCCCATTCAAATTAAATAGCCTCAATTCACCTTTAATGGCCGCCCTCGCGTGTCTGAGACATCTTCATGTTCTTAAGAACAATTGAAAGATTCTTCGCTCTATGAGCCCTGTGTCTACGACACACAAAACACCCAACCTCGCTGGTAGCGAGGGCGCCCGTAGGCAAAGCCTTTCTTCTTCTGCAAAGGGTGCATCTCCGGACAGTACGTCCCACACTTCACGGTAAGCACATCCCAAGCCCTCGGCAACTGGGCAACACACCGCGCCCGCCCCGGGCGACGAGTTGGAGGAGGTCGACTACGAGTCGGATACTCTTTTCCCAGCATGGGAAGACGAGCGAGATGAAGTGCGCCAACGGCGCGACGTGAGCCCAGCGCAAACCTTGCAGACACCGTGTCCGTTCCACGACCTTTCGGCTTCTGGAAAAAGTGGTACTATAATCAATCACCTCGACGAGGCACAGAAGCAGCAATTGAAAGCTACTCACAGGGTGGCTCCCCTGCGCTCATATCCATGATCGATCCTAGATCCTCGTGTGGAAATCGGCTTCCGCTTGGCGGATCCCGTACCGAAGCAAAAGACGCGATCACTCGATCGTTAGGCGACTAAGTAGTCGGGACCCCGACCACTAAACAAGCTGAGCTTGATCAGCGGAAAGCTCGTTTTTTGGTTCCCCAAGACATCCTAATGGATCAATACCGCTCTCGACTTCGAACTTATAAAAAAGGTGCTCCTAAACCCACAATGCGGACCATCCCTGTGGTGCTTGCCCCTGACAAAACCGCTGTAGATGATAATGAGCTCTCGAGCGATGGGTGCAGCAGCACCGGAAACTTTTTTCACTTTCTACCCAACAGCGAAGCCACAAGGAAGTGGACGTGCCGGTTAAGCGCCATCTTTGATGTGCGTTCGCCAAACCCATGGCGCAAGGCTGACTTCCTGCGAAATTGTCGCCCTGCGACATATGGAACAATCCATAACCCTCCCACGAGCTCTGTGGTCTCACACACGATGAGTCTACGACCGCAGCAGCTCAGATCCATAGCTTGGGCTCGGCTCATGGCCCTTTGACTTCCCAGGCTACTGCCGAGAAGCGCGGTGCGTACGCCGGAGCAAAGCGTCATGCTCCTTCCGATCATAAGCGTCCACGACGTCTGGGCAATCTTGCCGAAGTTGCACCTCAAGCATCCACGAGTTCTCGGAGTTTGGATATACTCGCCACTTTACAAGAGACTGGTTCAAACTCTGTCGACGACGTCGATCTATAAGGCGTCCCACGTGGTAGTGGATGCCACCATTCACATCGAGGAGAGCCGGCGGCGGGCGATGACGACTTGGTCGATCGCCGTCCGGTGACTCGCTATGCTCGTCGAGCGTTGGAGGACAAAGTCCGTCGTCATCGGCATTATACCGAGCATCTCTCCGAGGTCGTCTACCGCTGTGCGAAGGACCTCGAGAGCCTGGTGCGCTTTGTGTACCGACTGCCTCACGTTGAGGATTATCGTGCTCTGTCGGAGCGGCTCCTAGCCGTCGAGCAGGCGAATACGTCACTTCGTGCGACGATGGAGCGCCTTGCGCCGTTGGAAACGGAAATTGTTGCACTCCGTGCTCAGAACCAGCTGCTGGTATAACCTCTGGGTGGCCGAGCGCCTGCAGATCTATGCATGTTTCATTCTAACAGAGGATACAGTCAATTAAGCTTAGTTTGTCGAATTTACGACAAGTACTAATGCGGTGCAACAGGTTTGCCGCGTACCGTACTCAAAGGAAGCTCTGTCTTTGATAGATCGCGATGACACCGTCAATGTATCCTTCATTGAAAGCGAGACCCAGAGACTCTCAAGTATTTTAACTTTTTAGCTGTTTATCAAGAGTGATATATTTATAATAAGGTCTTACTTGAACTAAACTGAGTATATCGTTAGAAAATGCTAGCTAAAATAATTTCTATTACGGTCATCATTCTAGGCACAAAAATGTATTGTGTACAAACACCATAATACGGAATGTACCCGGTCAAATTAGATAATCACTAATAGATAATCAATCTAGATGAAACCACTATTGACACATCTATTTCGTGTACGATTCATTCGTTTACTTTGCAGATATCTTCGTACTCAACCCCATCTAAAATCTCTCCTCGATGCGGGCCCGAGTCAATTCGAATACGTGCGCAGAAATTATCTACTGAAATCTCCAGTAGTTTTGCTGTGCAGCCCCGACCAAGTCCGTTTACGATTTGAACCTTACGTCCTGGTTTCGGAATGACTGTCTCGAGATCCTCCTGATCAAGTCGTAGTACATCACCAGAGTCCAACAACTTTACTGTCGCGCAAAACTTGTCCTTAACGTCCTCCACCACTCCTTTGCACTTGTAATAAGCACCGTCACCGAGTGTCTTGTTCATCACTTTGATCACAATCCCAGTAGTAATCCAATTTTCTTTTCGCTGCCGCTTCGACTCGTTTTTCAGCTGTCGTCTCTTTTCCTCTCTTTGTCTTTCTTCTTCCTCCATAATCGCGTCAATAGCTTGTCGTTTATTCGAGCTTTTCTCCACCGTTTCAAATCTCTCCGTTTCTTGAAACATCTTTGTGCTTTTGTCTTTGAAAGCGACCGTTTTCATGTCTTCCATCTTTCTGCTCTCTTTCTTCACACCTAGTGACAATTTAATTTTTTCACCGTGCTCCCCACGCTGCAATTTTGTTGGCTGTATTTGCGTCTCAACGCCGTCTTTTTCACTAGCAATTTTCAATTGTCGCTCAATAAAGAGTCGATTTCTCTCCTCATGATCAAGCTCCATTTTCTTTTTCTTTTCCAACTCTTGCTGTCTCGCAATTGCTTTTGGATCTCTGTCAATGTATTGAATATGCCAGCCCTTTTCTGTTTCATCAACTACGCACTTGCCCGAACGTCCCAAATATTGAACAAAGCCACTTAGCGTCGTCCATCGTGTTGCATTCATATGAACATGAAGCTTGTCGGCAATATATTCATTATACACGTAAGTGGCTCGCATCCTCTTAGTGCCATGCCGACGTCTCAAGTTCTCAAGAAATGCCTCTTCAAACAATTCACTATACCCACTCATGAACTTGTTTGGATTGTTAGCCACAATCAACATTTGTCGCTGATGTGCCTCGGAGGTTGTGTGGCACTTAAAACCATTTTCATCACGACATTGTTTTTGACACACTTGGCAGAACCATCGAAGCTTTTGGAGCCCTTTAGCCTGAAAAGTTGGGGCAGGAAAAGATGAAGTCATTAAGAGGTGACTATACATTTCAAAAACATGCACAACAACATGTAATTGTGTTTAATAGTAAACATTACTTTCATTCGAATGCCGATAGCTTTCGGCGTCAGGAAATCATGCTTGCCCATGGTGAAAGTCTGCGGTTCCTATTAAATTTTTCAATCAGCAATTCTAATTTAGCCAATGATACATTCCCATATACCCCGTTTCGTAAATGGTTTATACCTAATTCATCGACTCATTTTCGATTTTTCTTTCATGCTTTTTTGTCGCATGACTTCTTCCTCTCGTAATGGTATCTCACGCTCTTTCAGCATGAGTTGGAGGCGCCTTCCGAGCGCCAAATTTGATAACGCAGTACTGCGTGAACTTCCAGTCGACACAGAGCCCAACAATTTTGTACGCAGTGCCGTGCCACGAGCATGCTTTTCTAGGGTTGAGCCGACGCCTATTGGTAATCCGGAGTTGGTTATTGTATCCCCTACTTCATTGCTTTTAGCAGGTATTGAAGTTAAAAAGAGCAGTAATTTGAATGAAGAGTTGCAAAAGGATGATTTAGAGCCGATTGAAACGTTAGTGCCCTTTTTAGCTGGTAATAAACTACTACCAGGTTCGGAATCTGCAGCCCAATGTTATTGTGGTCACCAATTTGGTTATTTTTCGGGTCAATTGGGAGATGGAGCTGCTTTATATTTAGGCGAAGTGGTGACTGGAAACGAAAGATGGGAATTGCAGCTCAAAGGTTCTGGGCTTACTCCATTTTCAAGATCGGCCGATGGTCGGAAAGTATTGAGATCGACTTTGCGCGAATTTCTGTGCAGTGAAAACATGCACGCTCTTGGTGTACCCACAACTCGAGCGGGGAGTGTCGTTGTGTCCAGAGAAACGCAAGTATTGCGAGATATTTTCTATAATGGGAATGCCAAACTTGAGCCAACAGCAGTAGTGACTCGAATCGCAAAAAGTTTTATACGATTTGGTAGTTTTGAAATTTTCAAAGAGCAAGATAAGCTCACAGGACTTTCTGGACCAAGTGCTGGAATCGAGAACAAGGAAGAGATGATGAAGCAGATGCTGGATTTTATCATTCGTCAATATTTTCCGAACATTACGGGAGAATCAAAGTATGAAAACTTTTTTAACGAAATTGTGTGTCGAACTGCGAAATTAGTGGCCAAGTGGCAATCGATTGGCTTTTGTCATGGTGTTTTGAATACAGACAATATGAGTATTGTGGGAGACACGCTGGACTATGGTCCGTTTGGTTTTATGGAGCACTTTGATCCGAGACATATTTGCAACACGTCGGATGATAGTGGCCGCTACCGCTATGAAGCGCAACCTGCAATTTGCAAGTGGAATTGTGGTATTCTGGCCGACCAATTGGAACTAGTAATGAGTCGAGCGGATCTTGAAAAGAGTCTTAGTGGATTCGACGTTGTCTTTCAAAACGAGTATTTGTGCTTGATGTGGGAGAAACTTGGTGTTTCAGGTAAAATGGAAAAAGATTCAGAACTGGTGAGCACACTTTTCGATGTACTTGCTCATACAGGTGCAGACTTTTCGTGTACATTTCGTTATTTATCGACTCTTGACGCATTTGATACCGGGGAATCCCGTGAAAACATATTAAACAAACTGACTGGTATTTCCGAGACTTTAGCCGAGCAAAAACGCAAACTGGCGCAGGCTTCGAAGGGAATTTCTGATGCTCAGTATAATATGATTATGACACTTTTACAAGAAAATCCTGTGCGTGCTCGTCAGTATGGGATTACGCCTGCATTGGTCGCCGAAATCAAGGCAAATCGTGAGGAAAAAGTTTTTCTAGACGCGATTACGGATGAGGAGCGAGCGAACACTATTCGTACTGCATGGGAGGATTGGCTTGATGTCTACATTTTTCGTATCAAGAAGGAAGGGAATGCAGATGCAGCCAGTGATAGTCGGCGTCGTCATCGCATGCTCAAGGTAAACCCGCTCTTTGTACTCCGCAACCATGTGGCTCAAAAAGCTATCGATTTGGCTCATGAAGGCAATCATGACGGAGTTCATCACATTTTTGAGCTACTCACAAATCCATTCGATGAACCTAACGACGAGAGTGATCTTGTGTATGCTTTACCCCAAGATCCATCCGCAACTCCACTATGCGTATCATGTTCGTCTTAACAACAGAAAATAGCTTCTGAAATCATTGATTTATTAATTTGGATTCAGGCCGCAGATTTTTATCTTTGAAGAAGACAGATTCAAGATCGTTAGTACTGATGATAAAGAGCTTAGGCGTAATCAGGTTTTTAAAAAGGGATATTTGCGTCATCACTACATCATGAAGCTTGATCCAGTATATGAGTTCTTTTAGCAACAAACTTTCTTTAAAGCTTAGAAGAGTGCATGCCAACTTCCATGGTATGAACTAAGCCACCGTCCGCGGTAATGACCACACCTGTAATCCATCCTGACGCTTTGGACGAGAGAAAGATGGCAAGTCCAGCCATATCCGAGTCCTGACCAACTCTTTCAACAGGTAGACTTTTGGCATAGTCATCCATACTTAAGCCAGTAGTTTTTAATAAACTATTCACCATATTTGATGGCACAACACCTGGAGCAATCGCATTCACGAGAATATGCCCGCCGTTGGGACGTTGCGCTAGCTTGGCCGCCAAAACGCGAGTCATATGGTGAATAGCTGCCTTGGATGTATCGTAAGCAATCGTATCAATTCGCTGTGGCATAAGACCAGCCACTGAGCCAACATTAATAACACGAGCTGCGTCTGACGATGTTGCGGCGGCATCTAGCAGCGGAAGGAGATATTTGGTCAAGTGAAAAGGTGACGTCACATTTACGGCCAGCACTTTGTTCCAAGCTGACTCTGGATGATGATCAAAGTCTCCGCCCCACGAGACACCCGAATTATTAATAAGAACATCCACTTTCTTCTCTCTTTGAGCAATCTGCTCGGCTAGCTCCTTGCAGCCAGCTTCATTCTCTAAATTAGCTTGCAACTATGACATTTAATCATAAATCTTAGTGTTTTAACAATAAATTATTTAAATTTAAAGAGGTAATTACCGCAATACATTGACCTGGCCCATTTGAATTAAGCTCCTTGGCTGAGGCTTCACAAAATCTGAGCTTGCGTGAGGCGATGTAGACCTTAGCACCGTTCTGTACAAAGCCATCGGCCATCATCTTACCAATACCAGATCCACCACCCGTGATAACTACGACTTTGTCCTTGACGTCAAAGAGGTTGCTCACTTGAAGTCTGCTCATTATGAATTGATTGACTTAGATATAATTTTCGAGCTAACTTTCATATTTTTATGATTACGAGCATTTGATGTTATAATCTCGTAGCTAACGATATCAAAGCTTTGATTTACCCACGCCAATCTCTGCAGCGCCGACCATTCCACCATCACTCGTGATAATCTGACCAGTGATCCAGCCAGAAGCTTTTGAGGCTAAAAATATTGCCAACCCAGCCATGTCCGGGGCAGTCCCCATTCGTTCAATAGGAATCGACTCGCTTAATCCTTCGAGGGTGTTTCCTGTCACGTATGCAACCCCCTCTGACAATCGCGATGGAACATATCCAAGTGCAACGGCATTGACAAGTATATGACCGCCATTGGGACGACGAGCGAGCTTTGCAGCAAGTACGCGAGTTAGATGATGTAGCGCCGCTTTGGACGAATCGTACACCATCGTGTTGATTTTTTGCGGTACAAGTCCTCCAATCGATCCAACATTAATTACACGAGCAGCATCAGACTTGATAGCAGCAGCATCGAGAAGAGGTAATAAAAGTCGCGTAAGGAGGTACGCCGACGTCACATTTAGAGCAAACGTTTCTTCCCAAACTGTTGAAATTTATATAAAGTCATGCATGTTAAAATGAAACATTTTAGCATATACAATAAGTTGTACAACAAACCTTTTGCTGGGGTATTCTCGACAGGAGTGTCAGCTCCGTCACCCGAGTTATTAATGAGCACATCAAGTCGTGACTCCCTTTTAAGGATTTCGTCAGCAAACGCCTTACACTCGTCTTCGCTCATTAGATCTACTTTAAGCTAGACACGCACCATTTGTTAACAATTCTTGAAGTTTGGCTACGAAATTATTCTCTTACGGCGATGCAATGACCTGGACCTTTATTATTAAGCTCCTTTGCAGTGGCTTGACAGACCTCAAGATTACGTGACGCAATGTACACTTTCGCGCCATTCTGCACAAATCCATCCGCGATCATCTTGCCGATGCCGCGGCCGCCCCCCGTCACAACTATTACTTTGTCCTTGACATCAAAGAGTTCAGCCACACGCATTTGACTTTGCTTTGTAGCACTGCGTCAACTTGGCAGATGTGTTAAAAAAAGTAAATTTCATTCGATAGAAATGACTACTCATTGATGAAATCCGAAAATCGTGACGTAGAGGTTTTCATCTTTTAGTGGTTATTCTAATTAAAAGATTAGGAAACATACTAAATGTTTGAAGCCGGTAATTTACGATAATAAGTTACCAGAAAATTTACTTATAGCTACTGGTATATCGGCACACTGTAAAATGCAGTCAAATGTGTGACATGTAACGTTATATACTACATTCGTTTCGATACCCAAGCTTGAATACTTCTTTCATTACATACAACAGTTTAACTACCTCGTGCATGAATTGTCAAGTGCATTACGATTAAAAGAGGTCTTACACCCGGATGGTAAGGTTGTACCACGTTACTACATGTGCGATTGACATCTATGCCGAAAGCGAGGAGGATTACGTCTAGAGATAACGAAAAAGTGAATTTATCACAGCTAGGCGATACAGCTCAAAAAGCTTGCGCATCGCATCCAGAATTGGCATGTTTTTCATCACATGAAACATATATCCTTATTTCTGTCTGATATTCAGAAAGCATGTTTTTTAGTTCCGAAGAAAAAAAAAGGCTGGAGAATAGCACAATTTTAATATGACTTTGATCGTAACACTCGTTGCCAATTTTAAGTTTACAAATAGTTGAAGGCAGTTTGCCCTCAGCATCAGCGACCCCGATTTAACGCTGGCGATTACGAACAAGTGTTGACTTCATTTTGATCATCATAGATTGGGCAAATAGTGCCGATTCTCCAGCTTGCCGAGCAGATACGATGTGCAATCAATCATTCATCATCATGCTCGGATCAACAAAATGTAAGTTTTCTAGCGATCGCAGTTCCGCGGGGCGAATTGTCAAATATCAAATGAAAATACAATCTTTGCTGTGTGGAGTGTCGGGTGATACCAATCTCATAGCTCCAAGCACAACTTGAAGCGCTTATACGTAGCAAAGGGCGTTTAGGTATGATGCTGATATCAAAATCACGCCTCAGTAATGATAAGTATCGTAAAACCTGTTGACGCATGCGGCAAGAATAACAAAATCACACAGATTCAGAAAGGAATGTACGGAAAAGTGACGTGATCAGTCCCATCTTATAGAATTTGATGTTCTTAAGAGACCAACCTGGAAATTGATATATGACAAGGTTATAGGTGGATCGTGGTAGAGTTCCAGGCGAAAAGCTTCACGGTTCTTTATGATGGTCAAAAGCACGGCAATCATGTCATCGGGCAAACGAGCAGAATCAAGAACATTGATTCATGGCAAGCGCTCAGTAGATTAGCGAGTATTTCAAGTTCAGTTGTCATCGTATCTGACAAAATGTAACAAGTCAGATCAAGTTACGTCAAGTCGACTAATATGCTGGCCAACTTGGCATTTCTGAGATTGTAGGATGTTGACGATGATCAATACATCAAAATGTTTAAGGTTCAGATGAAAAGTGTTAAGAGCGAGGAGTGTCTCATGGTGATGTCAGCACTGCTCAATTTGACACCCAAGAGTGTTCTGAAAGGATGCTTGCATATTGTGTGACTTAGAACGAGAGACTCGACTCGCTTGCATGTATTAAGAAAGCAAGCCCTTAGTCTACATATATATAGACTGAGGTTCTGCTTTTAATCGTTCTTTTCTGTCAATCTATTCCATTTCTGTATAAATCAAGCGATTCAACCGATTGGCACTGCAAACGTTATAGGCAATGGGTTCGACCCGAGCGATACGCTGGATAACCACAATTACTTCATGTGGGAGTTTGATACGCGCAAAGCGCTGGAGAGTAAAAGCCTCTTGTCGCACGCCACCGCAGCAATGAAGCCTGAAGAGATAGCGCTGCGAGAAACGCCGCAATAAAAAGTCAAAGATGTTGAGTCCTTTGCAGTTATTTGACTCGGTTGGTTTCCGCATAATAATCGATGTTGCGTGACGCGAGCTCGGCGATTGAAGCGTGGGGGACCCTTCGTGCTTTCTTCGTAAAGCAATCTCAGCACAATCGGGTACAATTGTGCACGCCACTCATTGAGTTTTCGCTGACGGTAAGCTCATAAAACACATTTTCAAGCTTGGTTAAATATGTGCTCATCTTGCTGCTGTAGCAAGTGTAGTGGTCGTGAACATCATTGTGGGTGAGGCGCGAATGGTGAGCGTCAGCGATTGAAATGCAATGAGACCAACAACGGTGGTGGTAAGAATAAACACCAAATCAAGAAGCAGTTTCCTAGGCAATACCAAGAGTTCAAGGAATTCGAATGCACCAAGCTGCATGTCCACATTAGAAGAATGACGGTGTGGACAAGCTTGCGTTTTCAGTCACCAGTCGTGACTTAGGATCAACACCGGTCAGGTTGTTGGGCAGCAAGGCTGGTTTCACATGATCGATGCTCGCAAAGTCTTCGTTAAGTTCAATCGTTCAGTTGACAATGTAATTGCCAACCGTTTACGTCTCCCGGCTATCGGTAATGGTGCAGTTCGTTGCGAGGTGAACGAGACCGTTCGTCTAATATTAGCGGATGTGCTACATGTTCTTTTGTTGAACAAAAAGTTGGTGTCTATTCCAGCATTGACAGCGCGTGGTATGTTGGTTCAATTAAGAGGAATGCAGTGCTGTTGGTGAACGGAGGTGTTATTGCAACGTCCTCAAGAGCTGGAAAGCTAGTTGTGTGAAGTGTGAACCACACGGCCGTGCGCGAAATTCATTTGCCAGTTTAGCAACCCAATCCAAACTTGTGATTTTGCACGCAGGCAACCACATCTCACAACTACGAATGGTTTGGTGTTAAATGCAGTTGACGACGTACCCCCAATGTCGAAGCCAAACGAGGGCATTTGCGATGGCTGTGTGCGTGGGTAGATGTCAGTAAGTTCGCTCTCACACCGTTATAGGAGTCAGGTGAATCGTTTCAGACTGTCCATAGTGATCTGATGGGTCCATCCAAGCAAAAGTCGAAGGGTGGGGCACTATACGTTTCCCCGTTCATAAATGACTTCAGCCGTGCGGTATTCTTGTTCTTGTTTGCGTCGATTTCTCAAGTGTCGGAATGGTTCAGAACGTTCGTGACTCTGTTGAGGCGCAGTATTAAGGTGCATTAGTTCCGACAACGGTATTGTGTACGCCAGCAAGGCGGCCAACAAATTTTGCATAGTATTGTGCACCAAACTTCTGTTTGTTGTTTGATCAAAAAGTGTTGATCTCGTTCTGCAAAGACTTGCAGACATCGAACTTCTCCAATTTTGGCATTTGACTATTGGATACCTTGTTCTACAAAACAAGCTAGTACAATTATTCCTTTTAGTTTAACTCAGATGTCTCCCTCAACGTTTCAATACAGCAGTGGGTGTGCGTCGACATCTGCAATTCATGAAATTTCAAGCTCAGCCGACACGCTAAATGATTCTACATGTGGACGTATTACGCTTGAGCACGAAACATGGAAGGCACACAGCAAAAAGGTTGAAGACGTGACTGCCGTTCTAATCAAACTGCAAGCTTGCTACAGATATCCTTAAGCTTGTAATGTATTAAAATATAATTTGTATCGCGGATTTTCAAGACCTTCAACAGCACGATGACCGTAAATTGTCATTATCTGCAGCTAACAATCCTCCTCGTACAATTAGACATCAATTACACATTACGCATAGACAAAGTCTGGTAACTGCTTTGGACAGATACAACTCTCACTTTTGGTAACATCCATGCATTAAATTAAGAAAGCCATGGACATGAATTTCAGGCATTAGCCGCGAATGTGAGTCGATATCTTTTGAAGTGTCGTGTTATACATAGAGTCTGAGTTGAAACTCCATTTGTACTAAAGGAACCAACAGGGCAATCATGCGACGACCGTCTTCGATAGGTGCTCTGAATTCACCGAATAAGCAAGTCGTCACACGCTCACTAGAATATAACGCACGTGGTGAAGTTCAATGTAATCAGCCATGCCGACCCAACACGACTCCGGTACGCTCTTTGCGTTACTCTACATTTCTTTATGCTTATATTGGAGTTTTACAGAAGCCACGCATTCAGCGCCTCTTGCTCGGTCCCGGTCAAAATGTAACACACGATCAGACTTTTCAGAATCAATTAAAAGCTCCACTTCCATCAAAGCTGACTTACCTCCCCGACTCACCGCCGCGCTTTCAATTCATTGACGTTACGGATTTAGATAATCCCCAAAGTAGCGAAGCACCTTGCGAGGTTGAGCAAGTTTTATCAAATTCAAAAATAATAGCGGAGTGTTTTGAGTCCGATTATGGTGAATATCGACAGGAGAATTTGCCGTTAGAGGCCTTAACACCGAGCAGCGGTAATTCTGACAAGCGACTTGAGAATGAGGAACTCGATTTAAGTCGAGAATCTGTCGCAATGAAAACGGAGAAAGTGGACGTTGATACATACGAAACGAGAGACCAGGAATCAAACAATGACGTGGGTAAAATTGCTGACGACGACGAAGAGTACAAGCAAGCGTTGGCAAATAGGGGGCGATTGCTGATCAACGAGGCAAATCGTCAGCGAACTCGTAGTGAGCTGGAGTCATATGTGGGCTCTTTGAAAGCAATGATTGACGAAGATGGAGAACAATTGGTTCAATTTCCAAAAAACTATCAGCAAGTTGTGTCCCTTATGACACAAAAGGATATCAGGGAGGGAGACACAGCATCTAATCAAGACAAGCAAACCCATTTGAATTGGTCACGAGTTCTTATTGACTCGGGATTATCAAAGCAGCAAGCCTTTGTAAGCAATTTAATTCTTACATTGTTATTCCATGCTTGTGCTTGACACACGCTTATTGTAGGGTATAATCGAAGAAGTCGACGACGACCCGGAATGCAAGAGTAAGTTGGCAGCCAAGATTGCGCTCAAAATGGCTCGTATTCGTCAATTAGATACTGTCTTGGAGGAAAAACTCGGAAAGAATTTGTATGCGAATATTGCTCCAAGAAAGCAGAAAGCTTTGCGTCGTAAAGGAATGAAAAAGGGTGTCAGGACTAGCAATCTGTCAAGTCGAACATTTATGACGCAAGCGCAATCGGCCGCGCCAAGTGAGACGTTAAACTGTGGTCAGACTAGTCGCAGTACTATCACCACCAATTTAAATATGCCTTCATGTGATGAAGGTGAAAAGAAGAGCAATAATTTTATTGAGCGGAATAAGCAAA